CCCGCACTTGCCCTATTCATCTTGACGGATGACCATGCTGAATAATGCATTTTACACTGGACGAAAGTGTGAGAGTACAGATTTGGTCTTTCCAGGTTTGGGCTTCTGACTTGGAGCAACCCCATGAATCGATGACCTCCAGAACGTCCCATTGTTAACAGCCTTGCTCGGGTCTTGCAAACTGAGCGTCTTTGTGGCTTCCTTGACGGCGTCCGTCCATCTCCTGCTGGCTCTTCCTCTTTTCCCGCTGCCTCCCACTTTTCCTAGCATGATGGTCTTTTCCAGTGACTCTTGTCATCTCATAATTGTGACCAAAGTAGCCACAAGGTCTAGATAGGGGCTCTGGGGCAAGTGATGCTCTGTCTTCTTGGTGCTTGGGGGGGGGGCAACAGTGGGAGGGCTTCTAATGTCCTGGCCCCACTGGTGGACCTCCTGATGGCACTGGTATTTCTGGCCCCTGGGTGACACAGAGTGTTGGACTGGATGGGACATTGGCCTGATCCAACATTGGCGTCTCTTATGTTCTTAATATGGAGCAGAGGTCCATCAGTGGGTATTAGCCACAAGGTATAGATAGGGGCTCTGGGGCAAGTGATGCTCTGTCTTCTTGGTGCTTGGGGGGGGGCAACAGTGGGAGGACTTCTAATGTCCTGGCCTCACTGGTGGACCTCCTGCTGGCACCTGGTATTTCTGGCCACTGTGTGACACAGAGTGTTGGGCTGGATGGGCCTTTGACCTGATCCAACATTGGCGTCTCTTATGTTCTTATGTTCTTATGATAGCCTCAGTTTAGTCATTTTGGCTTTGGGGGAGATTTTCAGCTTGATTTGCTCTAGAACCCACTTATGCGTCTTTTTGGTGGTCCACGCTGGTATCCGTAAAACTCTCTTCCAGCGTTACATTTCAGGTGGATCAGCTTTCTTCCTGTCACCTTTCTTCGATGTCCAACTTTCACATCCAGACATACTATAGTATAAATTACCTTGATCTTGGTCGCCAGTGACACACCCTTACACTTAAGAATCTATTCTAGCTTCTTCACGGCTGCTCTTCCCAGTCTCCATCTCTTGCTCTCTTAGCTGCAGTCTCCCTTTTGATTGATGATTGAGCCAAGGAATAGAAAATCTTTAACAATTTCAATTCCGTCATTGTCAGCCTTAATGTTATGTAAATCCCCAGTAGTCATTAATGGTTTAATGGCTGGGGGCTCACCTCAGTAGCCCGCCCGCCCGCTGCGGGGGGGCCCAGGCAGCAGTAGAAGTGTCTTTGTCAGGAGAGACAGCTGTTTTGGCCGTTTGTTCTGACGGGGAAGAGAGTCCAAGCTGGCGTTGGGGAGAGGAGCAGACCCAGCACCCAGCCAATGACATGTGCGTACTCTTGAGTGGCAGTTGACGGGCCAATGTCTGATGGAGCACACAGCACAGCCAGTGGGAGAGCTGGAAAGTGCCAGTACGCTAGGGCTTAGGATTTCTCACAAAGACAAATGGCGTCTCTCTAGCCTTTTCCCACCTTTACAAAATGTTCTACCCATCCGGTCCTCCATTAAAACATGGAAGAAAGACATACTGCTTTGTTGAAACTCAAATGTGGTTGGCTGAATTCGGAGATGCTCTAGAACAGCCATTGGGAAACAAGAGACCAGAGATGATGTTAAGTGTCCCTAAGACGTCCTTGTTTCCCTTCTCTCAGCACTGAAATCTCACATGACATACTGCTTTGTCTAAACTCAAATGTGGTTGGCTGAATTCGGAGATGCTCTAGAACAGCCATTGGGAAGCAAGAGACCAGAGATGATGTTAAGTGTCTCTAAGACTTCCTTGCTTCCCTTCCCTCAGCACTGAAATCTCACATTGCATCCCGCTGGATTCTTTGAGCTGATTTGCTAGTGTTTGGGAGGGGACGCTTGGTTAGGAAAGTGGAGTTACTGACCGGCAGTTTTGCCTTGCTTTGGCAGATGTTGAAGAACTCTGGATTGGCCTGAACGATCTCCGCTTGCAGATGGACTTTGAGTGGTCTGATGGAACACCAGTGCAGTTCACCTTCTGGCACCCCTTTGAGCCCAACAATTTCAGGGACAACCTGGAGGACTGTGTCACGATCTGGGGACCGGTACGTGTAGGGGAGGGACTCAGCATTGGCAGGGGATACACTTTTGAGCTCTTGCGAGCATGCTTGCGCTCTCTCTCTCTCTCTGCAAGTGTTGATTGAACTTGCATTGAACATTAATATATGCCCATGGTTAACTGTTAGAAATGAGAATGAACTGTCCCTTCAAAAACTTACCATGGAGCGGGCCATGTCATTATTATTTTTTAAAAAACAATTTATTATCAGGATATTACAAAATTATAACTTCACATTTGTCAAATACCCTTTTCCTTTCCCCCCTCCCTCCCATTTCCAGGCTTCCCGCAATGCTCCCACCCCCTCCATAATACAAATTCTCACTTTCCATATTACCCCACTTATTACTTAATCAATTAACTCCTATTATCTTATACTTATGATCTAATTCTAGGTAACCTTTTAACTATATATTCAATTAATTCAATTTCAATTTTCTTGTTCTTAATAGCTATCAAAGCAAAGTAAGTTATTCTTTACGTCCCAGTATTTTTTATATGTATTCTTTAAAGTCCATCCATTCTTCAAAAAATTCTTCATCTTCGTTATCGTTAAGTTTGTCAGTTTATCCATTTCTGCCATAAAAAGCATTTTCTTTATCCATTCCCATATTTCAGGTATTTTGTCTTGTTTCCAGTATTGTGCATACGTCATTCTGGCCGTTACGATCAAATACCATAACAATGTCCTTTTAGTCACATTTACTTCTTCCATTTTTAATCCCAAAAGTAATACTTCTGGTTCTTTTTTAAAAGTACATTTCAGGATTTTTTGCATTTCATTATGGACCTCTGTCCAAAAAGTCACTGCTTTATCACAAGTCCACCACATATGGTAAAATGAGCCCTCTTTTTTCTTACATTTCCAACATTTGTTAGACATATTTTCATTCATATTAGCAACCTTTTTAGGTGTCATATACCATCTATACATCATTTTATAACAATTTTCTTTTATATTATTACAAGTCGAAATTTTCATTCGGGCCATGTCATTATTGGCAGCTCTTTCCTCTTTGCAGTGTCTGTGGGGGAAACCTTAGAAATTACACTCCTTCCTACTTGGGGTACAAAACCACACACAGCAGTGACTCGAGGGGGTGGTGAGGGATTGAGGCTGGCCCTTCCCCTGGCATGGGGTGACTGAAGTGAGGGACGGTAGGAGAGAGGGCACTGTGCTGTGCCCACCCCGTCCCGTCCAGACAGCTGAGCGGAATGAGCGGCTTGGTCGGGGCTGTCTACTCCCGTCTCCTTCTGCATGCTGTTCCTGCCTTGTGGCTGGTAGAGAGGTGTCAGGACCCACAGCCAAACAACGAAGTACACGCTTCCAGGAAGGTTTTACTTTTATTGAAAAGCCATAGATGCAATAACATGAACACTGTTAGGAATGGCGGACTACTTATGCGCATAATAAGATATAGGGCATTCGTATGCGCCCCCCCCCCAGCAATACCCAATTAGGTGGACTCCCACGTGCGGGAGATGGCAAGGCTGTCTAACGGTAGCAAAGCTGGGAATGAAGAAGCTCCCACGGAAGGTAGACACCACAATCTCCTCCAGTAACTCTTTACAGATAAGCGTTGCAGCTGTGAAGCAATTAAGCGCATGGGAAGGAATGCAAAGCAATTAGGAAGCCTCTCCACGCTCATGGCAGCTTAGCTGACAAGAGGGCCCACACCTGCGCCCCCAGCCACCCTTACTGTCTGGCCAAACAGGTAAGCTAGGCTGTAGCTGCACGGGAAGAGGGCAGCAGATATGCATGAGTGCATCATGTGCTCCTCCTTCTCACCTGTGGCCTGCACAGCAGCTGTCATGCTGCACACTGCCACCACAGCAGTAACACATACGCGAGCTACGTGAAGATTCAAGTGCCATGCGTTCCAAAGTGAAGAGGAAGAACAAAGCCCCGTGCATATGCCAGCAGACTAAATTTTAAATATCCCTAGGTTATGAATGCCATCTTGTGTTTTTAGGTGGGACGGCTGTGCTTTGGGGTTTGTGACTTCCTGCCTCCTGGGCCTGGGCCCTGGGCGTGTGGGGCCCCAATCCTTGGCTATTGCCCAGGACTCCAGAATCACTAAGACAGCCCTTGACCACAGGAAACGCATGCCCAGACTGGCAGCACTTGAACTTTTAATTCATGGAATCACTTTTTGTGTATTACTATAATAAGGAACAGGAGCTGCGGTGGCTCAAATGGTTAAGATGCTGAACTGCAGGCTGTGGAAGGTCAGTAGTTCAGCAGTTCGAGACCCGGGTGCCGCATGACGGAGTGAGCTCCCGTCTCTAGTTCCAGCTCCTGCCAACCTAGCAGTTCGAAAGCAAGAAATTGCAAGTAGATAAATAGGGACCACTTTGGTGGGAAGGTCACAGCGTTCCGTGTGCCTCGGTGTTTAGTCATGCCGGCCCCATGACCACGGAGACATCTTCGGACAGCGCTGGCTCTTCGGCTTGGAAACGGAGATGAGCACCGCAACCCTAGAGTCGGACTCGACTGGCTTTCAAGCAAGGGAACCTTTACCCTTTACCTATAATAAGGAACAGCTTTGGAAGTAGCCGTGCGTTAGATACAAGAGGGGTGGGCTGTGAGAGGCCGAGGCCTGGACGGTGAGGAGGAAAGGGAACGGAGGGGCGTGGAAGGCCTGGCACCGTGAGGTCGCTGTGGGAGGGGGCCCCGGGCCTCTCTCCTCCCTCCTGCTACAAGGTTCTACACTTGTAAATGTACAGAATCTATGTCTTGGGTTATTTTTTTGACTATAATTATCTCATTTTTTTCTTTTGTTTCTGCTGTGCTTATTTTTTTTTATTTTCCCTTTAGCTAGACAAAGTTGCTATTAGGACTAGACAAGATCTGAGATGCAGTGCCCCACAGTTGTACAATGATTTTAAATAACTGCCTTTTGATCACAAAATCTGCTGAGGGAGGCTGTTCCATTTTACCATGTTTTCTGGTTTCATGCTTGTATGCTTGTGGCTTGTCACTATTTCCTGTGGCAGTGAATTCCACGTCTTAATTACTGTTTGGGTGAAGAAGTACTTTTATTGGTTCTAAACCTACTGCTCATTAATTTCATTGAGTGCCCACAAGTTCTTGTATGGTGAGAAAGAGAGAAAAGTACTTCTTTCTCTGCGTTCTCTATCCCAGGCATAATTTCATAAATCGTTTTAGTTGCCCTTTTCTTAACCTTTTCCAATGCTATAATATCTTTTTTGAGGTGACCAGAACTGTACACAGTAGTCCAAATGAGGCCGCACCATCGATTTATACAGGGGCATTGTGATACTGGCTGGGTTGTTTTCAGTTCCCTTCCTAATAATCCCCAGCATAGCATTTGTCTTTTTTATTGCAGTTTAGATGCGCCGGCGCAAGGACGCGCCGGCCGATCCCATGGCCCGGCTTGAGGCGCTCTACTGGAAAGAACCACCTAGGTAGGTGGTTCTTTTTTACTGCGTGTTTTTGGCGGTAGGGACGGATCAGGGACGGGCAGGCAACAATTCCCAGATGTTGCTGTGGGATCGTGCCCGTTTGCTCCGCCCCCGTTCCGTCCCCCTCCTGACTCAAAACGCCTCGTATGAACAGGGCCTTAGTGTCATCCGCAAACTTAGCCACTGCAAACTGCTTACTCCCAACTCCAAATCATTAATGAACAAATTAAAACGCACTGGACCTAGTACTGAGCCCTGCGGTACCCCACGGCTTACCACCCTCCACTGTGAAAACTGCCCATTTATACTCACTCTCTGTTTCCTGTTAATTAATCAGTTTTTAATCCGCAAGAGGCCTTGTCCTCTTATCTCATAACTGCTGAGTTTACTTAGGAACCTTTGATGAGGAACTTTATCCCTTGTCCACATGCTTGTTTACTCGATCAAAGAACTCTAAAAGTTAGTGAGATAACATCTTCCCTTACAGAATACATGCTGATACTTCCTTAATAGCTTTTTTCATCTGTGTGCTTACTAATTCTGTATTTAATAATGGATTCTACCAACTTACTTGGTATCGACGTTACACTGACCAGCCTGTAATTTCCCAGATCTCCTCTGGAACCTTTTTTTTTAAGGATGGGGGTTATATTAGCTACCTTCCAGTCCTCAGGAATGGAGGCAGATTTTAGTGATAGATTGCATATTTTTGTCAGGAGATCCACAAGTTCATATCTGAGTTCTTTCAGAACTCTTGGATGTATGCCATCTGGGCCTGGTGATTTGTCAGTTTTTAATTTGTCCATCAGTCATAGGACCTCCTCTCTCGTCACCTCAGTCTGACTCAGGTCTTTCAATGCCCCCCCTGAAATCGGCGGTTCTGGAGTGGGCAAGCACCTCCCATCTTCCACAGTGAAGACAGAGGCAAAAAATGCATTCAGCCTCTCTTCCATGTCCTTGTCATGTTTTAGTAATCTTCTTACCCCTTGGTCATCCAAGGGTCCCACTGCCTCCCTGGTTGGTTTCCTGCTATTAATGTATTTGAAGACATTTTTATTATTAGTCTTGATGTATTTTTTTGCAATATGTTCATCATAGTCCCCTTTTGCCTGCCTGATCACCGACTTGCATTTTATTTGCCACAACCCGTGTTCCCTTTTATTTACCTCACTCGGACTAGCCTTCTGTCGCTTAAAGGAATCCTTCTTACCTTTTATTGTTTCCATTACTTTATTTGTTAACTATGCAGGCCTTTGTTTATACCTATTTGTACCTCTCCTAACCTGTGGTATATATTTTTTCTGGGCTTCTAGGATTGTAGTTTTAAATAGTCCCCAAACTCCCTGAAGGGATTTGACCCTCCTTACCTTTCCTTTCCGTTTCTACTTCACAAGCCCCCTCATTTGTTCCAGCTCCTGCCAACCTAGCAGTTCGAAAGCAAGAAATGGCAAGTAGATAAATAGGTACCACTCCGGTGGGAAGGTAACAGCGTTCCCTGCACGGCCTTGGTGTTTAGTCATGCCGGCCACATGACCACGGAAACTTCTTCGGACAGCACTGGCTCTTCGGCCTTGAAACGGAGAGGAGCACCGCAACCCTAGAGTCTGACTCGACTGGCTTTTGAGCAAGGGAACCTTTACCTTTACCTTACCCCGTATAAATGTGGTTGTGTTGGTCTTTTTGGGCAACTCCCTATTTGAATAAATGTTAAACTTAATAGCATTACGGTCACTGTTCCCGACCGGTACACACACACACACACACACACACAATTCAGAGTATCTGAAGAAGTGTGCATGCACATAAAAACTTCTACCCAGAATAAAACTTTGTTGGTCTTAAAAATGCCACTGGACTCAAACTTTCCTCTACAGTTCAGAGATTTTTTTCCAATGCTTCTCAATATTTCCCAATCTTTCAAATGAAAAAAACAACAACACCTGAGATAGTCCTCAGACCTTTTCATGGTATACATTCAGAATAAGTAAAAATTTTAAACAACATTTTGCTCGATCAAAAGTGTCAATTATTTCCTTTTTTCGGTGTCCCTCAATTTCCCCAATTTGTCCGGTGGAAAAATTGAAAGAAAGTCCTCAGAAAAAAAACCCTTTCCCCCTGGATTTCCCTGAAGGTGCTAGTCAGGGGCAGAGGACTGGAAACCTGTTTCTCTGAATCACCTGGTCATGGGGTCAATGCAGTGGGAGGGAAGGTGAGGATGGTGTCTCACTGATGGCATCTGTTGGCCAGCACCTGCTGTGAAAATGCTGATCTTTGAGTCAGAAACCTCTCTGCCTCTGCCTAGGAAGGGAGATGGAATGACAGCCCTTGTAACCAGACATTGCCCTCCGTCTGTAAGAAGAAGGGGCGTGTGAATCCAGGCAGAGAAGACGAGGACCATGGCTGCAGAAAGGTAGGTAGAGACCCTCATTCTTGCACATAAGAAAGGAGCCGTGCCAAAGACAATGGGGGTGGGCAGGGAAGTGTTCAAATATAACTGGTCCATGTGTCCATGGGCATCTAGTGCTCCCTTGAGGAGGGGGGCGGGGGTGAGGCCTTGCCTCCTGGAGCTGGGAGGAAGGTTAAAGGCATTTCCATGTGCGCGGGCACACACCCGCAAGAAGGGAAGAGAGGCTCCTGCAAGCAGTGCACGCAGATGGAAGAGTGCTCAGCCTTCCCACTCTTTCAGCCTCTCCCTCCAAGTACCTGTGGGTGGGCCAAGGAGTGGGGCCTAGAGAATGAATCGTGAAGCACTCTGTTGTCCCCATGCAGAGTGACTGTTTCCCACCCCGGCACGCAGATGGAAGAGTGCTCAGCCTTCCCACTCTTTCAGCCTCTCCCTCCAAGTAACTGTGGGTGGGCCAAGGACTGGGGGCCTAGACAGTTGATCGTGAAGCACCCCATGCAGAGTGAATGTTCCCCACCCCGAGGAAGGGGCCAAGGGAGGGGTCTCCACAGGAGTGTCTTCAGTGGTTTTCCCGTGGGAAGTGGGCCAAATTCCTCTGCCTGTCTTCAGGAGCTGCCAGCCTCAGTATCACCCGCTTGGGCTGGAGATCCCTCATGGCATCCAAGAAGGGTTGGGGAGTCAGACTGTTTTTTTCCTCCCCCCCACATGAAAGAAGAAGCAGGAGCAGGAGTCTCAGTCAATCAGTTTATTACGGTCAAAGACCCATCAGGCAGCATACAGAATCAAAAACAGTCTCCAGATTATCGTAAGACATTACAGAGAGGGGAAAACAAACAAACAACCAAAACAAACATCTCAAGGAGTATTAAGGAGATGCTTACGCTTTGTAATTGCAATAAAAAGAAATTTAGCAACATTCCTTGAAATAGCCGTGGATTTGTCCTCTAGTAAGTATTTCAGCAAAAGTTCCTCGGACTGGATTACTAATTGTCCTTGAAATCTAAATGACCTTAATAAAGGCGTAATTAAAAGGGCTCTTTCTTCTGCATAGTGAGAGCAATCAAATAATATATGGGGGAGGGTCTCTATTGACTCGGAAGGGCATGAGCAAAATCTCAGATGTCTGGGGATACGTTGAAATCTTCCGGAAAGAACTGCAGATGGAAAAGTGTCAAATCTGGCTCTGGAAAAGGCCCATCTATGATTTGGGTTGGAAATATTAGCTAGGTATAAAGGAGCAGACATTAAAGTTTTGGATTTCAGAGATTTGTAAAAAGGCGGAAGTGCGGCATAAGCTGTTTGTAACTCAATATCTCTGAGACGCTGGTAAACAGTGGTTTTTGCCCTAGCATAGCCGCTTTCCAAAAGTTGGTACGGGTCTAATCCTAATGTTCTCAGTTTGTTAATGGCTCTAGTGGACCACTGAGGGTAGGGAGATGCAGCCAGTAGTAAAGGAAATAACCCAGTGGGGAAAAGGTGGACTTTCAACCAAAAACAGAGAGAATGC